GTCACACTTGTTCCTTAATCCATTTCCTCAAACATATATTATAGGTTAATTGCTGTTTTTTTTTTCTTCAATGTAAGATGTGGTTAATAAATCATTTTATTGTTGTTACCTCATATATTTTAGATTAAAAGCGTATTTTCGTAAAAACACAATTGCTATAGCTACAAAATATAAATTTAATGATGGTGATGATGATGAGCATGAAAAACGAAGGAAAATACGCTGAGAATTAAGATGTGACAGTTGCAATTTTTTGCGGTAAGAAGCTCAATGGTTAAAGTATTTAATCAGAAAAAAAAATCAAAACATCAGAGATAAAAAAAAAAGAAAATGGAGCAAGTTGAAGAACGAGCCTCCGGGAAATGGTGTTTGGTACTGAGTAGTTAAGACAAAAATGTTGTCGGGGAAACACGACTAGGACGATTAAGAATGAGTTTAGATAGAAGGAGAAAAAGAAAACCTGCTATGTGTTTGTTTTAAAGAATTACATAAGGAAAAAGACATCGGCTTAGAAATAAGCAACAAAGAATTCAACTGCTTAAAGCGTTTAAAAACGACTACAAAAATGAAAAGAATGAATAAACAAATCAAGTAGGAGGCAAGAAAATAACCGTTACGAATGGATTCAGGAAATTGTATAGAAAAGAAATAAAAATGAAAGAGAAAAATAAATAGTTTTTTTTTCATTGCTTTCGAGAGAAGCAAATAAAAAAATGTAATGTATGTTTAAAAGTTTGTGCTTAAAATTTAGAAACTCTAATTATAGAACATTGTTTAGCTTTCCTTCATTTTTACAATGAATTCAGTTGGAAAAAAAAACAAACTATCCTATATTGGTGAATATCCATCTATCAAAATGTTACAACAACGCTCCAGCAACCTAAATAAGTATCACTAAAATATTTTTGCAAAATCCTCGTAACGTGTCCGCAAATTTCCTTCGTGATAATGCAAATTCATAGCTTTTTAACTTTAAAGTAAAAAACATTTATCATAAATTAAAAGACGCATTTATCATCTAATTTCTTGTTTCTCTTTTATTTTAAATTACAAAAATAAATGTTATAACTTTTATAAATATTTTTAAGGAAAAAAACAATATGAATTAACCAATCAGGAACTTTTAAGCTCCAGCAATTCGCATGAGGGACGAAGGAAATCAACGAGTAACCTATATATCAAGATTGTGTAAATGGATGGCATAACCTACACTCGGAGTGCTAATAAATAGACAAATTTTATTAAGGCCTACGAATGTTTAAGAAGATTTGGAAAGCCATGATCGACCTTTCACTGAAGGCACAGGGTACAATGGATTAAGAAGAATATAGTGGAATTATCCTTAGAGAGAAAAATATATATATATATTCTATATTCCAGGTTAGAAACAGCACTATATTATTTATTCAGATAAGAAGATAACAGGAGAAATTAACAGTATTTGGAAACCACTGCAGCAACAGATGATGTTACAGGGTCGTTGTTGCAGATCAAAGATACTAACCTACCTACTAAGTAGACATTGCATCAAATCACACCCCAAATTACACGCTGGTTCCGTTCTGCTTTCTATCAGAAAGTACTGAGTGTTTCATACGTGTTTGCTGCATATGAGGTTTCGTAATTGCCGAGATATGAGGATGAAATTATTGACCCTTTAGAGCAGGAGAGTTCAACTGCAAGAGAGAACATCGCCACTGTACCTTAAATTATTGACGTTGCTTTTGTTATCTCTATTGAGACAAGATACATATCATGCACTTTCCATTGTCTTATACACTCGACCCTCCCACATTTTTTAAAAACAGCTGGAAAAAAATTACCCAGCTTTCTTGTAACGTTGGAAAGGACCCATGTTAAAAAACGACCTTGTGCAACATTCTGCCTTGTGGGGAGGTTCGGTAAATACTGAGATTACGATCATAGTGTAGTATTTGTTCCGCATACATGACCAGCGCAGATAAGTTTCGTGTCTGATACCGCGCATGCGGAGACTGAATAAATTTTGACCAATGACCCGAATGTTCGCGCACGGGTTCCCCACTTTAAATAACTGACTTGATGTCGCATCCCGTCTCTGTGGAGAGACATGCGTAAATAGCTGTGTTCCGCGACACAGATGACTAGGATCAAAATGTAGTAACTGTTCCAGCAGCATTCGACCGCCTGCCTACATCTCCCGGTCATCAGCAGCAACTCCAGAGAACCAGCCATCATCTTCCCCAGCTTTCTATAAAGCCGCCACTCCAGCCATCATCTTCCCCAGCTTTCTATAAGCCGCCACTCCAGCCATCATCTTCCCCAGCTTTCTATAAAGCCGCCACTCCAGCCATCATCTTCCCCAGCTTTCTATAAAGCCGCCACTCCAGCCATCATCTTCCCCAGCTTTCTATAAAGCCGCCACTCCAGCCATCATCTTCCCCAGCTTTCTATAAGCCGCCAGCCATCATCTTCCCCAGCCATAAAGCCGCCACTCCAGCCATCATCTTCCCCAGCTTTCTATAAAGCCGCCACCCAGCCATCATCTTCCCCAGCTTTCTAAAGCCGCCAATCCAGCCATCATCTTCCCCAGCTTTCTATAAAGCCGCCACTCCAGCCATCATCTTCCCCAGCTTTCTATAAAGCCGCCACTCCAGCCATCATCTTCCCCCAGCTTTCTATAAAGCCGCCACCCAGCCATCATCTTCCCCAGCTTTCTAAAAGCCGCCACTCCAGCCATCATCTTCCCCAGCTTTCTATAAGCCGCCACTCCAGCCATCATCTTCCCCAGCTTTCTATAAAGCCGCCACTCCAGCCATCATCTTCCCCAGCTTTCTATAAAGCCGCCACTCCAGCCATCATCTTCCCCAGCTTTCTATAAAGCCGCCACTCCAGCCATCATCTTCCCCAGCTTTCTATAAAGCCGCCACTCCAGCCGTTTCCAGCTCCCATCGATCCAGACATTCTTTCCAACGATATGCTATAAACTGCCCTTTTCAAGACAACGATCTCTAGCAACCAAAAAGGTCAAAAATAACAAAAATTCGCAGGAGAATGCTGTTTTTCATCCTGTACATGAGCTTGCCTAGTTCACAAATATTATTGTTCATGTGTTTTAATTTAACAAAAATAAACTTGGCAATATTTATTTTCACAGATCTTCGTTTTGTTTGTTGTTGTTTTCCGTCGTTCGATATCTGTTTGCCGGAAAATATACCACCCGGAACACCATAAGATATAAGAGTAAAGAAGTAGGAAACAATAATAATAATAATAATAATAATAATAATAATAATAATAATAATAATAATAAGAAGAAGAAGAAGAAGAAGAAGAAAGAAAAGAAAGTGAAATGAAAAATAAGAGGAAGAAAAAATAAATATGAAAAAAGGGAAAGTAAAATAAAAAATATGCAAAGGAGAAAAGGAAGATGAAAAGAGAAAGAAAAAATTAGGGGAAACAGTAAAAAGAAAAAGAAGAATAAGAAACAATGAAAGAAATAATATGAAAAAATTCTGAAAGCTAAAAAAGAAGAAAAGAAAACGTGGTTAGAAAAAAAAGGAAGAAAAGAGGAAAGCAGAATGTAGTGAAAAAAAAAAGAAAGAAGAAACCAATTAATGAAAAAGGATAAAAGAAGACAAAACTAGAAGTGAAGAAATAAGAAAAAAGAGAAAAAAAAAAGAAAAAGAAAAATTACAAAAAAAATAAGGAAACGTAGAATATTTTTTGTTCTATTTTTATAAGTTTTACATTATCAAGACATCACAGAATGTTCTACAGATAAAATTATGAAAAAAAATCCAAAAAAATCCACAAAATTTAAGAAAATACTATTAAAGGAAGGGGAATTAAAACCCCTTGAATAGCGCAAATATTAAAACTCATAGAATAGTGTTTCTATTTTTGTGGATAGAGTCGAATGAGACTACAAATTCACCCTCTCAGCTAGACATTATACAATAGGGCGTGTATTTTGTTATTTTGTGGTTTGCAATCTTTTTCAGTTTGTAAGGATCTTACAGAAAACTGGAATTTATTTTGAAAGGTAAGATATCCACCAATTTGTAAATCATTTCCAATCATTCATGCTTTCCATGTTTCTCAGTGGCGATGTTTTTTTTGTTTTGTTTTTTTTTTCATCCAAATATTGCAATCTCTTTCTTGAAAGGAAGCTGATTCCCGGAACAATCACACTCAATTACTCTGCTGAACCCGCTCCTAGCTATATGTTCATTGTGTTTCGTATGTCGCTAAATATCCTACAGCTAAATACAACAAAATCAACTCAGTTATAGACTGCATGATGCTACAAACCAAAATATTGACATAAGAACACAAGATGCCAAGTATTGTGTCAAACACGTTGAGACGATAGCAACTATCATCTGTATTGAAACATTTATCCTGGTCCATGATTTAAAATGGAGTCAAGTGTTCGAAAGTCCTGGGAATCTGGTTCATCAGATCTCATAGAATGGGGCCACATGATCCCAAACAAATTTACCAAATAAGAAACAATACATCACTTGAAGACTTTCAACAGCGTTAATAAACTAAATTGATGCAATGAAGATATTGACTTCTTACGCTCTTAACGTTTAGAAGGAAACAACCATTAATACTAACAAGACAAATAATCATGAACTTAAGAAAACTCCTAATGTATTATAATGTGACTCAAACGAGAGTAACGCTAAATGCTGAGTCAGTGAATGCAGAATATTTTCGTATAATGAAGCGATTAGTCTTACTATTAGACCACACACACGATTTACGCTACGCTTTCTTTAAGAGAAATCGCGTCACTGGAAGTCAAACATTAGATTTACTGAACTAAGAAATTTATTAGTTATTAAATATATTTTCCAATTGTTTATTTCTAGTTTTATGAGGGAAACATTGTTAATCATTTTCTGGAGTGATCTTTTGAATATTTGTAGTAAACAATATGGAGAGTCGTATGCTTATTGAAATCCTGAATGATGTCTGCGATAAGGGCGCTGATTGGCTAATATATGCAAATATGTAAATTTGAATTTGGATCTCGTGTGATCCTACATATGTAAAAGAATAAGTTGATGTCTGCGTGAGCCTCTTTTTATCTTTTACACAGAATTGAGATTTCAGTGATATTACTTAAATCTAAAGATTTTTCCAGTTTTAACGAGGCGACGCTCACACGTACATATGAGCTTCAATTTAGTGAAAGTGTTAATATGTAATAAATATCATGAAATTTATTGTCAATATCATGAATTTTATTGTCGATATTGTTATCATTTTGTTGGCATTTTATTCCACAAACTTATTAACAGGCCTATTATCTCTCTCTCCCCCTCTCTCTCTCTCTATATATATATATATATATGAAGAAATTTCATAAAATTAAACCAACATGATGGATATGTCTGATCTTTTTATATTTTTGAACTTTCTTATATGAAAAAGTGGATAAATATAATAAAAATTTTAAAATACAGAACTTGTATTTACTTTTTAACGAAAATTGTTTGAATGAATACTTGCTGACTAAACACACACACACACACATATATATATATATATATATATATATATATATATATATATATATAGAGAGAGAGAGAGAGAGAAAGGGTACGAAATGTGGAGAATGAAGAAGTAACAACCATGAATCGAGAGTGCGGACCTGAATATTGGCAATTCATTTTAAAAACTTATGAAAACTTCAAATATTTAAAAAATATACTTAAGGATGAAACAAATACATATAAATAGACGAGATAGTCAAGATTTTAAAAGTTAAAAGAATTTATTTTTTTTTTTTTTTTTAAGCATTACGCCCTGAGCAAGGCTTGAAGCCACTAGGATGCAGGGAGTTGCAGAAGATTTGGAGCGAGAGCAGATAGGAGTGATAGAAGAAAGGATGAGGAGAAGGATAGTGGGTAGATCAAGGTAACTGGAGGTGTCGATTGACATTACATTTGAATAGATGGAGATTATAGCTCACAGGGAAACAGTAATTGAGAAGGGTGTTCCACAGGCGAGAGGTGCTGATAAAAAATAGAAAATAATCTCTATGTGATCTTTAGAAACATGTTCCACAACGAAAGAAAGATAGCACACAGTATACAAATAAAATGAGATAAATATAAGTAATAAAACACCATGTATAACGCTAACAACATAAAAAGGAAGAATTCAGTGAAAGCACAAAGAACAGACTATGGAAATCAACAGTACTTTCATCTATCAGGTTTCGTCTCAGAGAATAATGATATAAATACGTTCTGAGAATTTTCTAGTCAGAAAGTATTGCTCAGTACAGTTAACAAAAAAAAAAACTATATATCTAGACTTCGTTAAGAAGATGATGATAAATAACTGATAACAGTAGGCAGCTGATTTAATATTTAACATTTGACAGGCTTGACACATATCATAACATTACGCGCTAACACAAAATTATGGAAACTGTTTGTAACGTTTGTACACCTCATTATCAGAGTGCGTGCAATAACACCGAGAAAACATTCGAAACTAGTAATAGCACTGTGTGTCCGAGGAAAGAACTGATTTCACCCAGACAACTTCATTGCTTAGGTCGGTAAATGTAACAAGAAGAAATGTGGAATACTGAGGTAAACTTATTTCGATTAGTCTCCAGAATAAAAACGGAAACACTACAAAACGAACAGTTTTACTGTGTGTTCTCTACCATTATTTTCTATTCGATTTGTAATAAAATAACTAAACCTTTTAAGAATATAACACCTCAACGATATTCGAAAGAACAGGAAAAATGAGAAAATGTTAGATGTCAAAATGCCAAATTATTGAAAGAAATATTTTCATTCATAATGGCATTGGAAGCTTGCGTAAGTCGCCTCATGAAACTTTAGTTCGAAAGCGAAACACTTTGGCACTTTCATTAGAGCTGACATTAATACAAGGACTATTAAAAAAACACTGCCTAAAATATGCGTAATATATTCGCAAAGAAGATTTTATCAGAAGCATATATGATTCCCGTATTACTGTTGAGACTAAACCAAAGAAAGATATGCGACAAAGAGGAGACACGGAGATAAACAAAAGAGTGAAACACAAAGCAAAATTCTGTCATGAGACTCTTCAAATGACAGATCAGTTGGAATACTTGCAGAGGCATTCGCTTCTTTCTTGGGTCATGTGTTTGTGTTTCATCTTTTTAGTTAGGTATTCTATTATGTTGCTTTAAAATTGTATGCGTCAGTTTGTGTTTGCCATTTTCTACTCGACGTTCGTTGCGAAGTGACGGGATTGTTTTTTAAAAAGATTTATTAAAAAATACAACTGAATCTCCCTATGTGGAAAAAAAGATTCTAATTACCATCAGCGGCTGACCTATGCAGAATCAGTTAGAAAAGGCCGCTCTCTCCCCCACTTCAGTATGGCCGCATCCAGGACTATATACAAATAAGAGGCAGACTGCTAAGTAGTAGTAACAATTCGTCTGGAACCGGCAAACTATTAGTTACTCTCTACACTATGTATATTCCATTGGTCAGGCACACAATTATTTATTATCTATCCTAAGGGATTATAGTGGCTGAATTTTAAAAGGTACAAAGTGTATGGTGTTGCATATGTCTGGACGTTTCCTCTTAACATCCCTTCCAGAAAAGGGAGGATTCGTGAGATTCAGGATAGCCGCTCGACTATCAGTTGAGCGGAATCGACAAACAAAGGTTCAATAATAAAAATACCCTTATCGCGATTCGATTTTAAACTTATCTTTATCCTAGACTGGCTGCCGCCGCAAACAAGGGACACATATTTGTCCTCGAATTTAGCTGACAGTAATATGATTAATGGATTATCCAAAGTGAATAGATCTTAATTCTGAACCAATCAGCAACCAGATCAGGCCAGAAATGGAGTAATATTGTCATATTTAGGCGAGAGATGCGCAGATAAAACTCTCCGGCCTTGATAGAGTTAAAAACCTCGTCTTCAAGCCTAGGGGGTTACAAACTATTCTCTATGCTTCAACATAACTCCTACAGGCTGGATGTGGCAAGCATCTCCCTACCCTACTGCTATTTCCACGGAAAGTGCTTGGACGAACTACGTTCTCTGGTCCCGCCAAATGTAAACCTACACGACAAGGACACGACATTCCACTTACATAGTAGCAAACACTCGCATTCCCTCCGTATCCCGTCAGGGAGATGTTCCACTCGTGAGATACTTCCCGCGCACAACGAAACTGTGGAACAGAATCCCAACAATTTGTACGTTTTCAAGGATAGAGTTAGCAGTTGACTTTCAAACCTATGCACACAGACATCCTCCAAAAGTAACCGTCTTCCTCGTGTAGTCCCAGGGGCCTAGCAAAGTCTGAACCTAGCTATAAAAAGAAATATTGGAACAATTGAACGCGTCATGCCTGTTTGAATGTCACCGCAAACGTTACAATACACATAAATATATACATACATAAATACTCAAATTAAGTGTCAGAAAAGTACACACACACACACACACATATATATATATATATATATATATATATATATATATATATATATATATATATTTCTTGATGTACAATAATATTTTGACCAGTTTCAACCATATGACTCTCAGGTCCAAAGATGAGAAAGTCAAGATATACTTTTAAATTTTGAAATGTCTGTTAATATATATATATATATATATATATATATATATATATATATATATATATATATATATATATATATATATTAGTGATGTCTGCATTATTTGTCAAGAAGAGAAGTTCACAGTAATAACATTTCCAGACCAGAAAAACCTTGAGAATGAGAGATCAGAAATAATACACAAAAATAATTTTAAGCCTGTTTGAATCAGGTTTGTTTAAAGAAGCCATAAGCTATATCACGTACCCGACAACTTGGGCAACCAACGAAACTCGAGTCGCACACGAAACGTAGGTATACTCGTGTATATATATATATATATATATATATATATATATATATAACTATATATCTATAAAAAACCTTCGGTTTCGGTTTCTTGATTTGCTAATGGTCAAATCAATCTCGTATAAAAAAAAGGTTTAAAAAAAAAAAAGAGCTATGAACATGAACGTCCGTGGAAAATAATCGTACAGCATACAGATCCAAAGCGCAAAGAAAAAAAAACTCGATACGAGTAATCAACTAACTTAAAAGTGCTCAATACAAAAGTAGAGCAGACCTAGAGAGCCAGACAAACCTACCAAGGTTTCACCTAAGTGGATCGTCAGGGAAATATATATATTTCAGAGGGCCACCTCCGATACAATTTATAATCCTCTTATATTTATATATATATATTTCACCACCTTCTATTACGCTTCACGTTGCGCATTTATTTATTTATTTTTAAACGAAATTATTTCACCCAGATCGCCTGTACATCCTTAAAGGATGAAACCAAAGGAACTTGATCGGCTGATTTCCTATATTTAGCACACACACACACACACACACACACACCGTGTAAGAATTCAATGCACGATATTTGGACGTCTATTACATTTTTCTGTTCATGAAAAATTCTTAGATCCTCTGTTTAAATTTTTGAAGAAACTTTCCAAATTCATGGTTTTCAAGTTATTTCTCGAATATCTCCTCCTTATCAGTAAAGATAATTTGTATCACTGTGCAGATGAAGCTGAAATTCAGACACATATACGAAGGTTATGATTTCAGTTTAAAAATACGTATACTGTACAAAATTGACGCAACATTCACGGAATCCGACTATGCCAAAAAGGGATTATGTTATTAAATATTTTCTAAGTATTTTGAAACTTCACCGCTGCGATCAGTGACATTTTATTTAATGTAGCATTTGAAAACCGGGAAAATAATTGCAAAAATTCATTAAAACTGAAAATAATGTAAAAATATAAGAAAATTCAGAAAAATGAATTATTTTATATTTTATGAATATTTTGGATAGAAGAACTTTTTAAAAGTGTTTTTTTTTTTTTCTCGCAAATAGGATTTCTATCGAATATTTAGCAGACAATTATTTCCAGTTTCGAAAGAGTTTTCCACATTCGGAAACAATTTACAATAAGACTACATCGGCTGAATTTAAGTTTGTGTCTACTTGTATATGCTTTTTAAAAAAAAACTTATTTTTATTGATAGTTAATTTAGAATGTGGGGATACGGTGTTGGCTTTTCTGAGAACAATTTTTAAAAGATTTGTTTAATTTCATATCACTAAAGAACTGCCCATTGCATATACTGACACGTATGTAGCCGCGCATCATATAAGCTGAATTAATGCGTATTCAATTTGAATGTTTATGTTGTTATAAGTCTATATATATATATATATATATATATATATATATATATATATATATATATATATATATGTGTGTGTGTGTGTGTGTGTGTGTGTGTGTGTAATGAATACACAGAGAGAATCAATATAGAGATAATTATATGTGATTTTAGGTTCGCTCGTACGCTTCAACATACAAAATATGTGTGTGTATATATATATATATATATATATATATATATATATATATATATATATATAGAGAGAGAGAGAGAGAGAGAGAGAGAGAGAGAGGGAGGGAATAGAGATGATAGAAATAGAGATATATATATATATATATATGTGTGTGTGTGTGTTATAATGAATACACAGAGAGAATCAATATATATATATATATATATATATATATGTATATATATATATATATATAGAGAGAGATAGATAGATAGATAGATAGATAGATAGATAGATAGATAGATAGATAGATAGATAGATAGATAAGAAGCACACAAGAGATATAAGATTTTACGTTTTTCTGCGTCAAGCTGATGTGTTCCCGTATGTCTGGCCTGTATTAGATTGAAATTATATGCAATGACATGTTGCTGTCACTCCCTGAGTAGATGATTTCAATATAAAAAAGCAGATGTGCATTTACTCACTGACACAATTTACTTTCTAAATCAAACCGTGACAATCCAGTGACATGTTTATAATCACGAAAGTTGGCTCTAGAAATAAGTGTAGGGAGAACAGTATTCATGTATTTCCAGTGGTATTTCAAAGAACATCACATATTGTGCCTCAGTATTCAAAATTGTTTCACTGATTCCACGACGTACGCCACCACACGCTTTTCACATGATATCACATTACGTGTGACATGTACTTGATTAAATCTTTTCTCTGTTTTTTTTTCCATCAAGAAGAATATAATGGTCTATTGTTATAAATTGCAAGAATAGAATTCCACAGTTTTTGATTGAAGAATAAAAAAATAAAAAAATTACAGAAAAAAGGTTATTTCCTCATAATATATTTTAGCATCAATCTATACATTACATCCGGGTAATCTGACAGGATTTCTCAGTGATTTGCACAAGCACATTTGTTCTACAATGCAAAGATGAAGTGCAGACTACAGTTCAGAGAGAACAGAACAAACTTACATTCATATACACTGTCTTTTCAATTCAGCAGGTTATACGGATAGCAAATCTTGAATTAGTGTAAATATTTAGCATATTAAAATCATATAGCCATACTCAGATTGCTGAACTCAAAATTATTAAGCATGATATAAATCTCTGATTTCTTAGGCTACAATTATTTGAAAGTGAAATTTCAAAATTATAAAATTTTATGAGAATTTGATTATATGAGCAGTCGCAAAGAGATAACAAGAAGCTTATATAGTTCGAATTCAAGTCGAATCCATTATATTCACTTTCGTGCTAATAACCTTGGAAAATATATTAATCCTCTTCTTCTTCCTCCAGCTATGGGTAAATAGCAGGATAGACTCTGAATTCTGCGGATGGTCGTTTCGGGACTTTGATGCACTTTGTGCACCAGGTCGCGATATTCGGCACTTCAAAACGTGTGGTTGTTTCTGCACAAAGTTTCCACCACTAAGATCAAATCATATGTTGGGCTGTCGGTTCCTGGGAACCGACCTTCTTTTTCGGACACAAATCGATAGTCCTATATATATATATATATATATATATATATATATATATATATATATATATATATATTATTATTATTATTATTATTATTATTATTATCACAGTGTAACCCGGATATAAGAGAGATTTTCTCTGGTCCCAAAGTGTTCCCATACTTACCTAAACAAAACAGACCAAACCCTGATATAAGAGACTTCTTATCCGGTCCCGACAACTCTCTTATATCCGGGTTACACTGTATAAGATATAATTATATATATCTATGAGGAATCCTTAACCTCATAAAAGAGGGTTTTATATTTGATTTTCATAGCATTTAATGGATCGTTTCTAGCGAAAATCGCTTGTTTAGAAAAAAACAATGTATAACCTTTGGGGAGCAGCTTTCGATATTCCCCGTGTACTTTCAGGCTTCATTTTCATATTTTCCGTCATCTGTTAAAACACTTTTTAGATATTTAACATTCATTATTTAATAGGTTTGCCTGTCGTCTGCTTCACACTCCTCCCAGGTTTTTTAACAGAATTAGACGTTTATTCATTTGTCCTTCTCTACGACTGGTTTTTCGGTTCCCTTTAAAGTAATGTCTTTATGTTTCACTTCCGGTAGTTTCCTACGTCTTGGTGGCATTGTTACCTTGCTTGGAGTGGTACCTCTTATCCTGTAACGCACTTTCTCGAATGGCTCCTGTTCTTTATACAGGATGGACATCATTGTAGTTTACATTTCTATATCTGCTTTGTTTTAAGAGCTATAACTCAAAACACGTGTGTTGGGCTGTTATTGTTTCTGTCAACAATACACATCGTCGTAGATTTTGTTTTTACAGCGGAATTAAGATGCATTTATAAAAATAAAGTAGAAGGTGAAAAAGACAAGGCATAACAAACGTGAAACAATAATTTGGAAAAGGATAAAAAAGAATAAAAATACAAAGGCAATATAACTAAATCTGTCAGACTACTAAACCGGCTAGAAATGTATTTTTTTCTTTTTGTCATTTTCCTTCAGGACTTTGGAGACCATGGCTCTCTACAATGCCGTGAGCTTTGTAGCTACTAGTGTATTTATTTTTTTTGGTATATCTCCTAAACTCTGTTCTGTCACGCATTTACAATCAAGTTAGGTAAGTTATGTGTTGTTTTCTGCCTCCCTTGTCATATGAGTGCCATGTTTACTTAGCCCTCTTTCCTATTTCTCTGCCATAGAAATTTCAACTGCATCTTCCTGATTTTAAATAAAGGTGTTCTTTTTTTATTTCGTTTTCTCGAAACCGTCGTTCTTTCTCACATTCACGTCACGCCGTATAAATTATTGATTGTCTTGAAAGTGCTCCTTCTTGCTGTTGTCAACGACATCATGGATCAAATTGGAATTTCCAACTTGCAATCCTTTTACTTCACGAGGTCATTCTTTATTCCTCCATGTGTCTTTTTTTCCTCTTAGGGCGTAAAGATTAATTCAGTTTTGGAACCAGTATTTTTAAATAGTTTGAAACAAATAAAAGACGATTAAATATAAAGGTTTAATGTTTCATGAATTTTGTTGATTGAAATGAGAATTCGAACGTAAAATAAATTCAAAGAAAAAAAAGATATAAAAACTGGATACTTAAAAAGTTATTTGGAAAGAAAAAATGGACGAGAACGTAAATGAAGAGGGCAAACGTGATTATGCAATAAATAAAATTTAAAGGAATAAGCCAAATAGCAAAGTAAAGAGGTCGGAATAAACATAAGGAAAGGTTATGGGATAAATGAATAAAGAAACACGATGTAAATTAAAATGGTGGTAATAATAGATCGAGAGATGAAAAAGTTACGAATGTTTTATTCATAAGAATGTGTTAAGGTAAAATCAAGAAATAAATTATAATCATACCACTACTTAATAATAATAATAATTAGAAGAAGAAGAAGAAACAAAAGTAATAAAGAAAATAGCTGGGTTTCAAAGAAGAAAACGAAGAAGCAGAGGAAGAGGCGAAAAGAAATTGTGTATTATAATCGTAAAAAAGGACAAAACAAATACGAAAAAGGTAAAGTATAAAAAGCGAATTAAAAAGAAAAAGAAAAGAGGGAATACGAAGAATGATGTATGTAAGAATAGTGAAAATAGTGTAGAAAGAAAGAAAAAAATGAAAGAAAGAATGAAAAAAGAAAGAAACGTGGAAGCAAAGTGAAGATACGGAATTGGAAAACGAAACAATGATCTGAAAGAAGGAAACGGTAACGCATAGAAAGAGAAGAAAACAAAAGTAAGAGCCATAACCATTAAAAAGGAAGGAAATTACAAAATGAACGAAAGAATGCGAAAATAATGAAATGAAAGAAAAACTAGAAGTGTAGAGTAAAATATGCTTAAAAATAAGCAAAATGAAGAATGAAAGGAATGAAATGCAGCCAAAATGGAAACAGAAAGAATGGAATAAAACAATAAAAAGGACAAAATCTTTGAAACTGAAATCAAAATCGGAAACGAGAAATAGAAAATGACCAAAAGATGAAGTAAAACTGAAAGAAAAAGGAATAATTAATATTTAAGAGATGACGAACGACGAAATAGAAAAACAAAATCGAGAACAGTGTCTAAATATAAATCAATGAGGAAAATATAAAAAGAGAATAAGAAAAAAAAGAGGAAGACGAAGAAGTAAAGAGAGGAATTGTACGTAGATCAAGATATAAATGACGAGGAATGAAAATTAGGCAAAAAGGTGAACCAACAGCATGTAATGAAAATTAAAACAGAAAATGAAAGAGAATAATAGAACAAGCCTCAACGTATAAAAAGGGAAGAAGGAAAGATTTAAACAGAGAAATAGAATGAAGGACAAGCCTCGATTTATAAAAGGGAAGAAAGAAACGTGTAAAGAGATAAAGAGAGAGAATAGGAAAACAAGTCTCGACGTATAAAAGAAAAAGAAGGAAAGGAGTAAACAAAGAAAGAGTGAGTATAAGAGAACATATCCCAAGGTAAAGAAAAAAAAAGAAGGAAAAATGTAAAAAGAAAATCAGAGACAATAAGAGAAGAAACCTCGTCGTAGAAAAAAGAAGATGAAGAAATCAAAGCAGCAGAGAAATCACAAGAAGAGTGGCGGGAAAATAAAAGAATAAATGTGTAAGAAGAAAAATAAAGTGAAGATTGAAAAAGAAAAAGAAAATACAATGTTGATATGGGAGATAATAATGACAAAATTGTAAGTAAAATGAAAACGATAATTAGACGAGAGCGAAGGAGGCGGCAGTTGGAAGATGGATAACAGGAGAAAGGATGTCGTAAAATGAACGAGATTATAGTTTAATCATTTCACCCCAAGCAAGGCCAGAATGCCACTAATACTTAAGAGGTTACAGAAAATGAGTGAGAGTAAAAGACTGGGTACGTTGAGGATTGAAGAAACGATAAAAGGTGAACGGGGTTTAAGAGGGGAAAGATGGCGACTGACGTTGCATTTAAAATTTTGGAGATTATAGTTATCAGCGAAGCAAGGAAACAGGAGAGTTCCACAGGTAGGAAGTGCGAGAAAAGAAACTGTTTGAGAAGAAGTGGCTGTTAAATTTACTTAATTCAACAGTAAAATGGGTGAGACCTAGATGCCAATCTAATAGCATAAACACACGTAGTTCGGGCACCAAAGGGAAAAAAAAAACTCGTCAGAGCAGTAGCCATCAACACTTTTATAGAAAAGAAACATGGAAGCGACCTTGCGCCTCTATGAAATGTAAGTAATAGTAAAGTGTATCTGTGAAGCAGAAAAATACAAACTAATTTCGAAAGAAACCAAGTAAGTTGGTTTGGTTTGGTTTGTTTACGTCATATAAACCTCAATGGTTTATTTAATGCCGACAAAATTTTTATTGCGGGTAATAAGTTTTTCTTCAAAAATCTATTTCTTGGAATATTTTTCCTTGAAGAAATCTATAGCTGGTCATTTTTTTTTAAGAATGTATAACTGTTTGTATTGCTGATAATTTTCCCTTCAAAAATTATTGCTGGTAATAATTTTTTTATTACAATGTATTTCTGGTATTAAAACATATTTTTACACAAGTGTGGGTGTTAACTATTTGCCCCGAGCTGGGACCCTAACAGGTGCTACAACCCCGGCTCAGGATGGACCTGGGAACACCAGCTATTAAAATTCTCCTCAAGCTCCTCAAAACCTCCTGATCAGAGGGCTTGCTGTTGGGCGTAGTTTCTCCTCATAACCAGGATGCAAGTCAATTCGGTGATAACTGAAAATCAAAATGGTATGAAAGCAAAAAATATTTAATCTTAAGGAATCGGGAAGAGGATAAGTCAAGTGAAAAAGCAAGAAGAGCGACTACTTGAGAGCGAACGTGAGATAATCATGCAACTTCTATAATAAAGAGTTAAATCCGAATGTGAGACCATCGGTATTAAAGCTAAAGATAATATTAAAGTTTACAAAAGGAAGAAGAAAATTAAAATGTCAACCAAAATTATATAAAATAAAAAAAGCTGAAACTTTAATTACGCTTAAATTTAAATCTGTTTGAAAAGTTTGCAGGAAGAAAATCGACAAATAAACTTCGGAATATTTAAGTTAATTGATTGATCGTTTCTTTTATTAGTTTTTTATTATTATTATTTCTTCCCGCGTCACTATCACTTAATGTCAGTCATACATTATTCAGTGGTCTCTTATAGCAGTCATAATTATTTCACCGCTGAGTCACTTCTTTGCCAGTGATATGAAAGCAGCATCAAATACGAGCATTTGAACGTTATCAACTCCTGCGTAAAAATACTGAGGTTGGGTGTTTTGTTTGTCTATGACAGTGCCCTAGAGATAAGAATCTTCATCGCTAATTTTATGACTCGCAGCTTCAACAAAAGAGCTTCTTCTCGTATGGAAGATAATTTGATTTTAGTAGCTGTATAAAATCGGACTTGATGGCTCTGCTAAACTAATCTGATAATAGGCAAACTCTTACACTTCAGTAATGAATGTGCTTCTTCTGACACTTTAGGAGATAAGATTCATTTTGATTAGAAATGATTACTTTTTGAAAGTTTGGAACTATATTCTTAGTGAAACAATGAGAGGGGTACCATGCGCAAATATCATCGTAAGGTTTTCATAGATTAATTACCTGTTTTTATTTCAACGGTATAATAGAAACTTTCGCTGGAGGAAAGAAAGCGTATACAAATGTTATAATGTCTGACTTGAGAAAGCGATATTTTCAAAGGAGATATCCAAATACTGCACTACCTCCACGGATTATTTTCAATGGGAATGTGATGAAAAAGTATTAAGGATTCGCAGACACTATAACGATTAGCGGTCCGAAGAGAGAAATCTGCGGGATAAATTCGAATTTGGGTCGCGTTCACTTTCGTACAATGGACACTGGCAAATATACGAATCTATCACTTGCGCCTCAATCTATGGGTTAAAATGTTGACCATGTTCACCAGTGTGTATGAATATAGAATACAGCGCAGTAGTTAATCTGTTCAATGAAAAAACGTTAAAGATTAATACTCTCGAGCCATACACTCTGACTATATCGCCAATACCACCAGCAGCAGCTGTTCTGTAATTCTTCAGTCTTCGATATCAAAGGCTGGCCGTGAGTATTCGGGAAAAAAACATGGCCGCCTTTATACACGTAGTATTGAATATGTTGAGCCTTCTGATTGGTTAACCCTTCTATTGGTGAACTATAAAATGAGTCAACTCATTTTGGCTGGCTCACTAGTATACAAACATTCCAGCATAAACACCAAAGCAGATTTTGCGATCTATACATCTGCGGAATCAATCAAGGAGAAGAGGAAACTCTGCATCCAAATCCTAGCACCTGTTCACACATGGATAAACATGTTTTACAGATAGTACACAAAAAAAAAATGACCGATAGATTTCAACATATATGAATGATCACTATAGAGAGAGTTTATCAAAAATGTTAAAATCAACGGGAATTTTATGTGAAGAAGAGTGAATTGTTTATCTGTTTTAGCAAGAGAATATTCTTTTGAAGGAAATTCGGATTTAGAAAGTTGTTTTATTTTGTTAGAGGTCTCATTCTTTAAACAAAACTATTATTTCTAAGACTGCCAGCATGTTACTTCTATAGAACATCCAAACTACAGATATATATTTAATATCCAGGATATGAACAAAACTAACCGGCTTGTTACCAATTAATGTTTTCAGTGTTCTGTTTTTGAGTGCTGAGTTATTCTCGTAATGATAACAGCGAAAAAATGTGAATTGAACATTTAAAATGGTTATATTTTCATAGAAATCAAGAAATACATAGAAAGGAATGTCATATAGACAGGTGTTCAAATAGTGTCAACGAATTTCTTAAACATCTAAACTATGAACCTATGAACAAATAGAATAAATATTTATTTGGGAAATGATGACATCGGGAACATCGTTGATGAACACCGGAAACAACATAGATCAAAGCATATAGAAAGATTTGATTAAGCCTAATGTCGTCCGGAAATTAGGCACATAACATAAGTATCATCAAAGGAAATATGCATTTTTGTAGCACAAAGAAAGAATTTAATTTTTCTATAAAAAAAATAAAAAATCTCAAAACCTTTTATTTCATTTATTTTTTGTTGTAGCTTTAAAATCATTAATATAGTAATTTTTCAATTGTAATAGTATAAATTCACTTAAACATGGAGGGTAGCATCAGCGATGCTGATGGAAGTCTAAAAAGTTCTACGATTAATTACAATTGCAGCTTCGTTTAAGAGGTGGTAAAATAGGCAAGCTATTTCCTGTCCCAGTAAACGACTGGAAGTAAGGTTTAAAAATCAGCTGCCAGTTTTACATTGTCGGAATTATCAAACAGAAGTAAATATTTGTGCAATTAGAATAAATATTTATTTGGGAACTGATGACATCGGGAAAATCGTTGTTGAACACCGTAAACAACATAGATCAAAGAATAGAGAAAGATTTGATTAAGCTAACTATTCGGCCATAGACGCTACGGTTTTCAGCTTGTTTAGAAGGTGACCATGCCAAATAATATCAAATGCTAAAAAACTCGTCAGAGCAGTAGCCATCAACACTTTTATAGAAAAGAAAGATGGAAGCGACCTTGCGCCTCTAAGAAATGTAAGTAATAGTAAAGTGTATCTGTGAAGCAGAAAAATACAAACTAATTTCGAAAGAAACCAAGTAAGTTGGTTTGGTTTGTTTACGTCATATAAACCTCAATGGTTTATTTAATGCCGACAAAATTTTTATTGCGGGTAATAAGTTTTTCTTCAAAAATGAAAACACCATAGCTACAACTGATAAATTTAAAATAATTATAAAGCGGTCACGCACATTTTCTTAAAATCACTAGCATAAAGAACGCATTTAAAATAAGTTTGTTTTTGCAATGCAACACTGAGAATAATCGTGGATGAGAGCGAAAGTTCTTGGGTAAGAAAAACCTAACGAGCCTTCCTTGATAAATTTCAACATAAAATCAAGAAGCTGCTTAGAGGACAACATAGGATTAGTCTAAAAATAGACATGATATGCCTATATTATTTAATGAAACATGTTATATATATATATATATATATATATATATATATAATAATAATCTAACTTTTATACGAAACTTGTATATATATATATATATATATATATATATATATATATATATATATATATATATATATATAATAATAATAATAATAACCTAACTTTTTTCCGAGAGAGAGTGTATTTGTTTATGTGTTTAGTATAAAATTTTAAGTTATAATATTATTTCTCTTTCTCCAGCAGAGAACATTTTGGTCGTCACCATAGCCAAAATTGTTAAAAAAAATCGCCTCCTAACTCCCTCCGCTAAAAAAAAAAATCACACCAGGAAGCTGTCACATGGAGTACTACTAGTGACACCCATCAATAAAGTGGCAAAAAATAAAGATTAATAAAATATATGCAGACTGATTTTTCAACGTTTCTTTTCACTGATGAAGACTTTGCGTGACAACTGGTGGAAACGCCTTCAGAAGTTGACACGTCAACA